CCACCTCGCTTAGCTTTCCCATGAGCCCTGGAGCCTTGCTCTGTCGCCTAGGCTGGCCTCAGACCCATGGGGCCAGGAGAGCCTCCTGTCTCAGCCTCCCAAGTTGCCGGGAAGGCAGGTGTGAGCCACTTTGCTCCACCCTAGGATTTATTTATTTTGGTGTCAGGAGTTGACACCCAGGTTTTTGTGCTGGGCTGCATTCCCAGACTTTTTTTATTTTTTGAGACTGTCTGGCTAAGTTGTCCAAACTGGGCTTGAAGTTGTGATGCTCCGGCCTTTCTGGAGTAGCTGGGATGACAGGCACGCACTGCTGTTCCCTGCTTGGACTTAATTCTTATGCCATTTGCTTACTCAGAGTGGCTCTGAGCCCATGAGCCCCACAAGGTTGTGTCCTCTCTTGGGCCGCGCCTGCTCCATGTGGGAGGACGCTTCCTGCCCCTGGGCCTTTGCACTAGCTGAGCCACCTGTTGGGGACAATTTCCCATCTCCTTCCTGTCCCCCCTGCACCTGTGCTCGACCCCAGGCCGGCCTGACCTCACAGGCTGTCTGTCTCTGCAGGTCCTACCCCGACGAGGAGGGCCCCAAGCACTGGTCTGATGCCCGCTATGAGCACGTCATGAAACTCCGCCAGGCCGCCCTGAAGGCTGCGCGGGACATGTGGGCCGACTACATCCTGGTGAGCACCCCAAGCCAGGGCTTGATGGGGTGGAGGAGGATGCAGCCCCTGCCCTTTTCATTTTAAGGCAGGGTCTCACTGAGTTGCCCAGGCTGAGCTCAAACTGGTGCTTTTCCTGCCTCAGTCTTGTGAGAGGCTGGGTTACAGGTGAGTATTACTGGCCTGGCAAGAGCACCAGGTCTTAAGTCATCAAGAATGAAAGAAATCCCCCGCCTGCCCGCAGGCACAAGGTCCCAAGGTTGATCCCCAGTATTTAAAAAAAAAAAAAAAAAAAAGGGGAAGGAAGGAAGCTGGGTGTGGTGGTGCAGTCCTCTGGTCCTTGCTACTGGGCAGGCTGAGGCAGGAGGACCCCCAGTTCCAGGACAGCCCTTTCTCCAAGCTGACAAGACTCAGTGGGCTCTGTGTTCTCAGAGGTTTGGCCCTGGGGTGTGTCTGCTCTTTTCAAAGCCATCCACAGTTATGTGTGACCTCTGGTGCCCCATGGTGACACCCTTGGGGCCCCTTCTGAGAAGCCAGGAGATCAGAAGTCAGGGCTGGGACAACGTGGGTAATACAGACTGGCCAAACCTGACTTCCCTTCTCATCCCTGGTGGGCAGTTCCCTGAGGAGAGAACCGCTGAGTCTTTATTGCAAAATTTTTTCCCTTTTTGAGACAGGGTCTCACTTAGTTACGCAGTTGCCAGGGCTGGGCTTGAACATGCGACCCTCCTGCCTCAGCCTCCTGTCGTGCTGGGATGATGGTTGTCCATACCCCGACTTCTTTGGTCTGTAAGACATGGTCACCTGACCGGCCCCACTGATGGCGTGGCCCCATCTTTTGTTGTTTTGCTTTTGTTTTTCTTTTTGGTGCCGGGGATCAAACTCAGGACCTCGTGCTTGCAGGGAGGGCAGTGGCACCACTGAGTTAAATCCCCGGCACCATCTTAACTCATTGTCTTTTGCCTGCAAAGATCTCTTCCGAACCTGCTCACTGCCAGGTCCCTGGTGTGGACTGGGTGTCTGGGGCCTCCATTTCCCCACAGCAGGTGACAGCCAGGCTGGTGCGGGGAGATGCAGACCCCAGAGGAGCGGGCCTGGGGGTCTTGCGCAGCATCTAAGGTGCAAGGGACAGAGTGGAGAGCAGCTTGGGTGTAGAGGAGGTGGTGGGTAGAGGGGAGGGCAGAGGCCCTCGTCCCTGAAGGCCCTGGGAGTCTCTGGGGGGTGTGAGAGGGTGGGGCTGTGACTTGTGGTTTTCAGCAGCCCCTGTGGGCCCAGGTGGAGACCAGTTCGGCACTGAACACAGGTGATGTGGAGAGCGCAGGGGGGTTCAGGATGTGTTGTACAGTGGAGGGGTGAAACATTGGGTGCGGCTGGAGAGGAAGGGTTTCCTAGGATCCTCCGGAGCCCTGCTACAAGCCTTGTCAGACCATTGTATGGATAAGAAAAAGGAGAAGGTTAGGATGACCAGGCAGTGGCAGTGTCCACAGGGCCCTCAAGACGTACCCCAGGCATGGAGATGGACCTTTTGGAACTTCTGGCATCCAGAATCTTCTAGCATCTTCTGGGACCTTCCAGCATCTTCCAGAGCCCTTTGGCACAGAGCTGTCATGTCCTTTTCTGGTTTTCACGTCTGCGGTTGGAGGTTTGCTGGCTTTCACTTTTTTCACTCAATAAACCTAGATGGAACTCAAGATGCTGGCAGAGCCTCAAAGTGGCTTTGGACACAGATTATATTTCTATAATTAGAGACGTGAGAGGACCATTTTGGAATGTGAATTGGTTTGTGCTCTTTTAAAAATGATTAGAGAAAAAGGCCTCTTTCCTCCCTTTTTAACAAAAGTTATGCATGTTGCTGGCCTGAAAAAACTGCGAGAAGACAGCAGAAACTCATGGCCTTAATCATGCCTCCCAGAGAGACCCACTTTGTAGCTGTGTGTGTTCTAATTGAGGTCTAATTTCTCTAACATGAAATTAACAGTGCAGAGCGTACAATTCAGGGGCCCTGAGCATTCATTGTGTTGTGGAACGATTAACTCTGTCTTGTTCTGGAGCAGTCCTAGCCCTGCAAATGACACCTGTCCTCCGAGCCAGCCCTCCCTCCCCCGCCCCTGCAGCCACCACCGTTTCCTGTTGCTGTGGGTTCACCTGTCCCGGAAGCAAATGACATGTCCTCCGAGCCAGCCCTCCCTCCCCCGCCCCTGCAGCCACCACCGTTTCCTGTTGCTGTGGGTTCACCTGTCCCGGACATTTCACACCAGTGGCCCCCGGCTGGTGGCTGCTGTCACTTGTGTCTTTCTGTTTCATGTTTTTGCTTTTTCAGACAGGGTCTTGCTGTGTAGCCCAGGCTGGCCTTGAATTCATGGCGATCCTCCTGCCTCAGCCTCCTGAGTGCTGGGATGACGGGCGTGCGCCACCACGCCCGGCGTTGCATCGTGTTTTTCAAGTTCCTTTCACAGGGTCGTGTGTGTCTGCCTTGCTCCTTTTGGTGGCCTAGTGATGCTCCACCGTGTGGATAGAGCCCACCACGTTCCCCATCCCTTCTGGGCAGGCGGGCCCCTCCCCCGCCTGGCTGTACACGTTCCCATCTTGGGTCTGTGCTCTGATTCTCCCGGGTGTGCATCTAGATGTGAGCTGCTGGGTCCCCATAGGCTGTCCTGCTGTCTACACTGCGTGTGCAGCCAGGGTCCCTGACGTCTGCGTGGCTGGTGAGGTGTGCGGTGCGTCCTGGGCCGCCTCTGTCTGGAGCTGCCGTGGGCTGGGATTGGAACTTGGGGTGTCGTTGGTGGCAGTTGATCCAACTGTGCTGAACCCCCCAGGGGCGGCAGAACGCCCGAGGACGTGCAGCTGTCTCGGGAGGGGCCCGGCCCCAGAGGGAGATTTGTATTGTTTAATAATTTCGTGGGTGCAGCAGGGTTCGCGGTATAGAATGTCTCTTGTCAGAACTGAGAAAATGTGAGGCTTTGCAGCGTTGGGGTTTTCGGGTTTGGGTTTGAGGAGCTCAGCCTGTGGTTCTGGATCACCGCTGTGCGTTCTGCTCCTGGTGGCCTTAAGTGTTGCCTGCAGCGTGAGTTTTGACCCTCCTTTCTTTAGCTACTGTGACTGTTTAGTTTTCTGTGGTGCTGGGAGCAGCCCCCAGGGCCTCACCCTTGAGCTGCACCCCTGGCACTGCCTTGTCTGTCCTTTAGAGGCGGGATCCCCCTGAGCTGCGCAGAGCTCGTGACCCTCCTGCCTCAGCCTCCAGGGGCCGGCGTCTCGGGTGTGGCCGCACACTTGTAAACTCTCTGCGGAGATGTTGGGGTGCAGGACTGGTGGGACTTGGGGCTTGAGAGGTCTCAGGCCCCACGACCGTGGCCTTGCCCCACGCTGATGCCGTGGCCCTGCAGTTTGTGGACGCGGACAATCTCCTGGTGAACCCTGACACGCTGCGCCTGCTCATGGCCGAGAACAGGACGGTGGTGGCGCCCATGCTGGACTCGCGGGCAGCCTACTCCAACTTCTGGTGCGGCATGACGACCCAGGTAGGGCATTGGGGTGGGGGGTGGGCCCTGGACAGACGTGCAGGCTGCAGGCTCGGTAGCCGGGCCCACAGCCCCACCCTGTCCTCTTCCTGCCACGTTTCAGTTTGGGTGGTGCCGGGATGGCACCCGGCCTTACCCATGCTGGGCACGTGCTCACCTGTAGCCTTTTTGAGAGCATCTTGCTGAGTCACTGAGTTGCCCAGGCTGGATTTCAACTTGAGATCCTCCTGCTTCAGCCTCCTCAGCGCTGGGGTGACAGGCATGAGACCCCACACTAGGCCATCCCAGCTGTCGGAAGCCGGCCTTCCTGCCCTTCCTGCCCTTCCTGCCCGGCCTCCGGGTGACCCTCGCTGAGCTCCGCCCCTCCCCAGGGCTACTACAGGCGCACGCCGGCCTACATCCCCATCCGCAAGCGGGAGCGCAGGGGCTGCTTCGCCGTCCCCATGGTGCACTCCACCTTCCTGGTGGACCTGCGCAAGGCCGCGTCCCGGAGCCTGGCCTTCTACCCGCCCCACCCTGACTACACGTGGTCCTTCGACGACATCATCGTCTTCGCCTTCTCCTGCAAGCAGGCAGGTGCGTGCCGCGTGGGTGTGGTGGTAGCTGCAGGCACGGCTGTGTCCAGCGGTCTGGGTGCGGGCTCCCTGTGGACCCGGCCGGGGAGACCCCGAGCTGCCCCAGCCCGGCTCCCCGGCCCGGAGACGGCTCGGTGAGCGTCATCTTGGTTCTCACCCCGCCTGGCTCAGCTCCCAGTGTGCTGTGACTTGGCGCTGGGAGCTGGTACAGTGCCCTCGTTGTGCGGGAGGGACTCGCGCCCGTCCCAGGGGATGTCTGAAGGGCAGGCCTGTCGTCCCAGGTCCCGGGGGGCTGAGGCGGGAGGAGCCCAAGTTCCAGCCCCCTGAGGAACTTAGCGACTTGTGAGACCTGGCCGCACAGTAAAAATAAAACGGGTCAGGCTCAGCTCAGTGCGGAGGCCCTGAGCTCCATCCCCAGTCCGGAAAGGAAGGTGCTGAGCTGCCGCAGATACTCTGCTCTCTCCTCACACGGTTACAGCGAAGACGACTTGGCCAATCAGGCTTGGCAAGAAGTTAACAGCAACCTATGGGAAGGACCGTAACAGTGTACTGCAGTAAAACGTACGGCGTGGGCGTTAGCAACTTCTGGAACTTCCCCTTCCTAATTCCAACCCGGCCAGGCACACTGTGCCCTGAAAGGGGCCTTTAAAGCACGGCCGCAATCAGGCGACCTGAGGCCCACGACAGTGTCTTGGGGAGTGTGGACAGCTTGGCAAGTTGGAGTCTCAGCTCCTACGGCCAGCACGGCGGCACAGGTCTGCAGCCCCCACTCCTTAGGAGGCTGACGGAGGAGGATCCTAAGTTTCAGGCCAAACGAAGCAACTTGGCAGGACCCCAGTTTAAAACAACGAAGAAAACATAGACCGATAAAAATGAGAGCCAGAGGCAGCGGCGTGCCCGGCTTTCTGTCTCCCAGGATCACCTCCTGTTCAGGGTCGCTTTGTCTGTTAATCTGGGATCGACTAGTTTCACTCTTTTAAAATATTTTTTGTGGTACTGAGAGTTGAACTCGGGATCTTTGCACTGAGCTGCACCCCAGCCCTTTCGTATTTTGAATAGGCTCTTGAGAATTTCCCCACGAAGGCTGGGCCTGCACTCGAGACCCTCCTGCCTCGGCCTCTGGAGTGCTGGGCTCACAGCGACACCCCCGTGCCCAGCCTTGGCTTGACCCGAACTTCTTGTCCCCTGGGCCCCTCGCCCACCACAGGGGTGCAGATGTACGTGTGCAACAAGGAGGTGTATGGGTTCCTGCCAGTGCCGCTGCGGGCGCACAGCTCGCTGCAGGATGAGGCCGAGAGCTTCCTGCACGTCCAGCTGGAGGTGATGGGTGAGTCCCAGCTGCACTGCCTCCCCAGCCGCCCCCCCTCGTCCTGCGCGCGGCTCCCTCTGGTGGCTGCAGGTGGAACTGCCCGCCCCCGCCCAGGAGGGTGGGTCTTTTCCAGGGATCGTGGAGTGTGCAGTCACCCAAGGGTCTGCTGCCTAACCCTACACTGTGAACCCTCACCCAAGCCTGGGCTGGAGGCAGTCTCAGCCGGTGGCAGTAGACCCAGAGTGTCACCACATCTGCCACAGGGCTCTTTTTCTCTTTTTGAGACATGGTCTCACAATGGCTGGCCTCAAACTCATGGTGATCCTCCTGCCTCAGCTTCCCAAGTGCTGGGATGATAGGTGTGCACCACTGCGCCTGGACTATTTGTTACTTCTGATGAGAGAATGATTCATGTTGCTGTTAAACACTCACCAGGAGAGGTGGTGCACAGCTGTTATCCCAGCATTCGGTTGGCCGAGGCAGGAGGGTCACATAAACGAGGCCAGCTGGGGCAGTTTAGCAACTTAGTGGGATCCTATTTCAAAATAAAAAGAGAGGGCTAAGGCTGTAACTGCATGGTAGAGTACCCTGAGTTTAAGTCCTAGTACCGCAGAAATACTTGTTTGCCCGTTGCTGTGGCCTGGTCTTTGTCCATACAAGCCTGGCCTCTCTGCTCCCCCGGCTGCCCCCTACACTCCTGGACAGTGGGCCCAGGGTCGGGTCCTGCCCTGCAGTGTGGGTGGTCAGACCCCATCTTCTTCCTGGGCCCGAGGCTGGAGAGCCGGGAGCCGCCTCCGCACCTGGCAGAGGTCTGAGGGGGAAGGCAGGAAACCAGGATATGCAAAGGCCCTCGGGTAGCCCTGGGTGGGTTGAGGCCGGCCGACGGAGGTGCAGGTCCTGGTTGTGGGGAGTGGGGAGTGTGGGACCGGCCGGGCTGTGACCCTGGCGTCTCTGCCCGCAGTGAAGCATCCACCCGTGCAGAACTCGAGGTTCATCCCGGCACCCGGCAC